TGGGAGCAGCTGAGCGCCCTCCTCGCCCGGAAGCGCCCGGCGCGGGCGGACTAGCGCCGGCGTCAGAGCCCGAGACCGGGCCGGGCAGGGGAAGAGCTGTAATCGCTAGCCGCGGGACAATGCCGACTTTTGAACCTCTAACCACTAAACAAACAGCCCTTGGGCTCTCGCTCCACTCCAAACAGGGTTTATTGACAGGCGTTTCACAGCAACGCATAGCAACCACGGCGGCGGCGAAGAGGGGAGGCGGGAAGGGAGGGGGGGTGCGCGAGGGGGACACAGTCCGCGCGGGCGCTCGGCTCCCCTCTCGGCGCCTCAACACGCTGGAGCCCGGGATCCCTGCTCAGCGGACCCCAACTCGACTTCTCCCGTGGGCGAGGCGGCCAGGCACTGCACCCCCAACTCCAGGCTCAGCCACCAGAGCCCCTTCCCAACCCCAGAGCGAATGCGCTACCCGGAAAGAATTGGGGAGATGCTGCAGAGGGATTTATGCCTCGCAGCTCCGCTGGTCCTCCCCAGCCCTCGGGGCACCTCCTCCTTCCAGGAGGCTCTGAGTAGGGCTCGAGGGACTCATGAGAAGACCCAAACGGAGGCGAAGCCATGAGCAGAGTGCCCAGCTCGGCGGTTTCTGGGACCAAGAACCTCAAGAACAGCAGCCAGGTCCCCAGCGAATCAGCCGGATAACAAGCAACCGTCACTAAAAGGATCTTCTTATACTGGTTCTCGAATTCTTGTTTATGGGACAGGTGCGGGGGAGGGGAGAGAGAGGGGGAAGCTGCTCGGGACAGGGCAAGGGGTGGTGGCAGAAAGGGCTCCCATCAATGCCCGAGTATTCACAAACTGTATTCAGGGAAATATTCCTTGGGAAAACAGAAAATAAACTTTTTTTTTTTTTTTTTTTTTTTTTTTTTTTTTTTTTGCTTAATGCTCAGATTTAACTGGCTGGATTGTGGAGCTTTCCTAGGAAGAAGCGAATCACTGGTGAAGGGAATGTTTGCAGTTGCCTTGGTGTGAATTTGATGAGAGCCATGAGGGGCCCTCTGAGGCCTAGCCCCCAAAACTCACCGCAGCTAGGAAGCAGCGGCCCATTCAGGTGTGCATTTTGCCCAGAGGCACCCCCAGGAGAACCACGAGTTTCACAATCTAGGCTGGGCTCAAGCTTGGGGGCAGGGAAGGTCTCAGAACCTGCTCTCTCCGGCTTCTAGCGCTCTGGGGTAAAATGAGGCTGTCCAGAAAACCTTCTCCACCCTCTCCCTGATTTTGCTAATTCTCCTTGGCAAGAAGAGATGTTCCTTTCTTCTTTAAAAAAAATAATAATTCTTGACAAAATCTGAAGACAATAAATACAGAATCTGAAATCTGAAAAGCTCATTTATCTCTTTTTCTTTATAGAAAAAATTCAACTGTGTTCAAATACCCCCACTTCCCTTCACCATGTCACTTCTCTCCCCATGGATCCAGAGGCTTTGTAAAGACTGGCTGGGATGTTACACAGACCAACAACTCCAGCAGCAGCAACAGCCCCCTTTCTTCGTCAGTCCCCAGATTGTGAAAATGACAGGAAGTCCAGGTCGGCTCTGGCATTTATAGCACCGACATCCATTCAGCCCAGAGAAGCTCTGGTGACAGGCTTTCTAAACAAGGCCCAGCTCCGCCCGTCAGGCCTGGAGTCCCAAACCGCCCCTCACACCATTCACCACACAAACACCAGCCAAGCCTTTCCTGGTCTGGAGAGGGAAGAGAAGAAAGACAAACACCTGGGGGTTCTGCAGTCTGCGGTCGGTTCAGGTCTCTATCTTAGCTGCCTCTGACTTCTGCAGTGTAAACTTTGCCTGCCCTTGAAGCTGGAGGGGCCAGCTGGTCCTTGGATGACAGTGAGTAGGCAGTAGCCATCTTGCTCTACGCACTGGCGTTCCCCTGAGTCCCTTTCTCCCCTCAACTCCAACCAGAGGTGCCTCCTGCAGATTTTGGAGGTAAAGAACTGGAGAGGAGGGGCTGAAAGCCTGGTCTGTTTAGCCAGTCGAGACAATGCTTCCGCCAGTTCCCCCGTGAAGTCCCGGTGGTCGTCATTTCAGTCTCCTCACTGGCAGAAAGAGTCAGGCCGAAAAAAGTCAAATTCTGGGACAGCGTCTTCCTTGAGGTTTCGACCCCACTTGTATTTGCTCCTGGCGCCATTTTTCCTCTGAGAGCTGGATAGGTTGGTGCACATTGTGGGTGGGAGGGAGGGGTCTCTCCTGAGGATTCGAGCAGAGTCCGTGCTCCTCGTGGCTCAGCCTGGAATTGCTCTGCTGCTGCAGGCCACTGTGGGTCACTGGGTGACAGTGGGGTTCAACACCCCCCCAGTTGGCCCCAGAACCCCAGTGACAGAGCCTGGCACGGAGCCTTGCAGGGAAGACACAGGACTCAGGGGCTCCGGGACACTTCTCAGAGGACCTGGCTGCGGCTGGGGAGGCTGGGCTGTAGGTGGTGGAGGCTGCTGTTGCTGCTGCAATTTCTTCTTGTTGATTTTCCTTTCCTTCGCTCTGCGGTTCTGAAACCAAATTTTAACCTGGAAATGGACAGGTGGGGAAAACAGAAGATGGTAAAGAAGAGAATGTGAGGGGGAGAAAGGGGGAGAGCCGGTATCAGCACTAGCATCAATAAAGAAGTGCCCTCTCTCAGGAAGGACCCCCAAACCCTATCTCAGCCTTTCTTGGGATTTCTCCATAACTGCCCAGGGAGCCCTCTCAAGCCCAACTCAGCATCCTGAGAGAAGCGCCTCACCCACACACACCTTTCCCCCCAGGTTTCTTTCCAAAGGAACCTTTATCTGCAACTTTACTGGAAAAGCTCAGAGCCTCAGACCCAAGAAACACAGAAACCACAGACCCTTTCTGTAACAAGCAACAGGAAGCCAGGGCTAGATGGACTTCAGATGACAACCTTTAGCCTCTCACAGCTAAATTAAAAAGTAATCGTCTTCACCTTGGGGCGGAGAATGAGATTTAATGTGAGCTTCCTGGCTGTGAATGTGACCTGTTTTTTTCTAGATTATATAGAGAGTTTGTGAGCCAAGTCTCACCCCTCTAGTTTTAAAGGGCAGGAACTGGGGGTCTATTAATTTTTTCCAGGCACAGTGCTGGGCCCATAGAGAATAGGTCTTTAAGTCTTTATTCATTGACCCAAATAGAATTCTGGATTAAACTAATACTGGGGTTTTTTTTCTCCCAGACACCCCCCTCCCTCCCCCAAACAAATAGAAATATTCAACATCATCCAAAAAGACCACAGGTGGAAGGAGCCTTTTTTATAATTTTTTTTTAGCATTCAGAAGGAAAATGCTTTCCATCCTACTACTTTACGCTGCTCACAGAACTGGGTGGATGCAGCAGCCTGGCTTCTAAATCCCCCCACAGGAAAACCCCCTTCCCTCAGGCAGTGGCCAGGTCAGGAGGGAGAAGGGCAGTTCGCACCTGCCTCTCGGACAGCCCCAGGGTGGCAGCCAGCTCAGCTTTCCTCCGGATGGTGATGTAACGACTGTAGTGAAACTCCTTCTCCAGCTCCAGCCGCTGATGGTCCGTGTACACCACCCGGTATTTGTCTTTCGTCCTGGTTTTCACTGGAGGAAAAAGAAGTCAGAGCTGAGAACTACAAGGCCCATCAGTCATGGGTAATGACAAACCTCTCTAACCCAAGGCCCATTTCTCTTCCTCACCACCCAGGGGGCCAGGGGTTGTCCTGCCAGTCTGACAAGACCCTCCCCAACAGAAGGGGGGGGGGCTCTACAGGGCAACTAAACTAACCTTGGGGTTAAGTGGTTTTTAAAAATTAAAAAAAAAACTAAAACCTCTACACACAGAAGAAAGCAGAAGCCAACCACCATTTTGGTGAACCAAATGTGGTACTGGAGCTGGCTAGGCCCAAAGGTAAAGAGAACAGGGCAGAGTACCCAGAGTCCCAGGAATATTCACATTTTCAGGCCAACCAGAGATGAAAGCCCACCTAAGAACAGCTGGGATTGTGAGTATGCATTGGTTTCCTCAAGCCCCCCACCACCACTAGGCCCCTCTGCAGGAATTCTGAGGGGGAGGGGGGATCTGCAAGCAGAAAGCGGTCCCACTGGGGACTATATATATATATATATATATACACCTGGGGAAGCCCGGTTGGGCATTTTCCACTCTGTGTTTCAATCCCCCCCTTTCTATCTGCCGCAAACCCTGCAGAGTTATCCCGACCAGGGATCTGTACTCACTGGGTAAGTCAACATATTAAACCTGGGATTGATTGTTTTACGGAAGAGCCTTGACAAATGGTGCCTCCGCAACTGGAGCAGACCAGAGCCTGGTGTCTCCGCCGCGCCTGCCTGTCCTGTCCTGGGTCAACCCTCGCAGAGCCATGGCCAGGCAGGGGTCTTCTGGAAGCAGAACTGGCTCAGCTGCCCAGTGCCCAGCCCGACCGAAAGATCTAAAAGGTCTGGGAGCTACTCCGAGGTGTTTAATGCCCCGCAGGCCGACTTTGTTCAGGTAAAACCCTTTGCAAACCATAACAAAAGCTCCCTGGGAAGATACAGGCTGGATCAGAGGGAGCTCCCCTAAGCCGCTGAAAGGGGAACACAGTCGCAAACAATGCCGGACAAGGCGATCTTATCAAAGAAAAGCCCTTTCAATGCCTTAATAACAACCGCATTCTGTTTGAATTACCACTACTGAGCAAATGGCGGCCCCAGCTTTCATCCCCCTCCCCGCCAGGCGCATTAACATAAACACCGCCCGGCAGGCGCATTTGAATGGGCGCAGCGGCCCCGACCCCGCGCCACCGAAAAAAGTGAAGAGAACTAACACGTCTCCAGGGTCTGCCAAGAGGTGGGCGCATTCCCACGCGTTACCGCCTCACAGGTAGTCGCCCCTTTTCACAGACGAGGAAACTGAGAAACAGACTAGGTTAGGCAGAGAGTAGAGGCGCGGCTGGCACTGAAGTCAGGTTGGAGCTACGAAACACACCTCCAGGGCTGGGGAGCGGGGTGCAAAGGAGTCCTCCGAGCCCAGCTCCCCAGTAGAGACACTCGCCTTGAGGTGCTCGGGTGCTGAACACCGCGGCCGGGCCGGTAACCGCGGTGACCAGGCCCCTTGGCGCTCTGCGGCCCGCGCCCAAGGGTCTTGGAGGCGCCCCGCACCCCCTGGGAACTAAGGAGGACACTGGAAGAGGGGAGAGATGAGAGGGACTTGCCAGAATTCATTATTGACTGCGAAAGTCACCACCCTCTTTCCGGGCCCTAAAAGAGACAATGGCAAGGCTGGGAAGGTGTATATCAAAGCGGGCCGGGCTGAGTACCTCCCCCTCGCCCCTTGACAGATGACGCTCAGCAGAGGAGCCGGGCTCCGGCCCGCGGGCCGCGGCCTCCCCACATTAACATCACAAGGGCGCCCGGCGCCCGCGGCGGCCTTACCACCTTGGCGCGGGACTTCACAGCGGCCTCTCATCTGCTGACCCCTCGGCCTGGGCTCCTGTGTCTCCCCTCCCTCTCCCTCCTCTCTACGCTCTCTCGGGACCCGCCAGAGACACCCCCCCCCTCCTCAAGCCGTCGGGTCCCCGCCTGCTGCGCCCCTGGCAGGCT